TGAAGAACAAAAATCAAACGAGAGTGCATATGAGCAAAAGAGACATAGAGGTGAAGACGCTGTTTGAGATTTCATTATATTTGATAATATGTTGGAAAATCTTCAACCACAAGGATTAAACGAAGAAATTATTATATGCAATTTATACAAAATAATTCCAGCTTTGTTGATGACTTTCAACAATGATACTTAATTCATCTTAGTAGTATTTGTCAACTCTGCATTTCTAACCCCATTTTTTTCTCATAAGCATTTCATCGAACATATATGCTTCACCTGAGATGACATGTATCTAACATCACACCTTGAATCGTTGATGGTCCCGATAGTCCCTTGGTCGGGTCTTCTCTCAATGGACCCTTATTCAAGTCAACACCTTCATAGAATTCAAAGTTAGATTAGAATTTCCCATGCATCCCCGACTGAAAAGTTGCGCTAGAAATGAGAAGAAAGAAGCGAAAAAGGAAATTCGAGATCGAAAATGAATTTTGGGTTTACAATAAATTTGTTGATTGTGTTGCAAGTTTTAAAAGTTGGGGGACCTAAATGCAAGCGCATGAAAAGTTCAGTGACCATATTGCAAACGGACTAAATGTTGAAGGACTACCATGTCATCTTCTTCTAACGGCGTCAAACGACCGGTTACGTCGGGGACCATATTGCAAACGGATTAAATGTTGGAGGACTGTATTGTAAGTTTTAAAAGTTAGGGGGACCTAAATGCAAGTTTTAGAAAAATTTAGTGACCATTACTATACTTTACCCTATCTTTTATTTAGTTAAGTGATTGAGAAAAAGCTCTCTCGTAAATTAAAGTGAAATAATTAAACATTTGGCCATTTTAAACAATACTATATAATAAATTATAATTTTTTATTTCTATTATAAATTACAATATCATTTATATTTTTTTAAAATAATGAAGAGAGCATGCAGAACATAATGTGCTTGATGACGAATTTTTAAGAGAAAAAAAACTTGAAAAATGTATTAATATTCATGTATTTATTCAACCTATTAGTTGTTTAAATAATAAGATTTCTTTATAAAAACGTTTCACTTCTTTTAGAAAAAAATATTTTTTTTCTTATTGGTATGTCATTTATCTCTTTTATTTTTCATCTTTATTGATCAACGGTAATAATATTAGTTATCGATCGCCGATATTCTTTATTGTCTTTTTCTTCTCTATATCACATCTTTATTTTTTTTTTTTTTTTTTATTTTCAATAAGTCTGCTTATATTGCATATTTTCATATGCTTTTATGATATGTTTTCTTATGCTTTTTGACATGTTTTTCGATTCTTTGCCTTTTTTCATTTATCTTTTTTTAAGGGTTGATTTGACATCACCTCGACTGATAAGATGGTGCTTATCTGATTTCTTGTTGATCTTGCATGCTTTGGACCCTTGGATTGGATTTGGACACCCGATTTGCGTTCTTGATAGCTTTCCACATCGCTTGAGTCTGGTTCACAGTTTGTCGGTGGTCTTTTAATAGTTTGTTCCTCTTTTGTAGTTCGTTTGTCGATGCGATCAGATATGCTTGTATTTATCTTTGTTCGAGTTTCTTGGTTAGATTTAATCTTTCCTTTTATGGTCATTATGTGATCTTAAGTTACTGGTTTTGGTTCAATGTTTATACGAAATTTTCATTAGTGCTTAATTTACGGTTGTCATTGTAAATTTTTATTGTAATTTGGGATATTTCCTATTTTTAATAAAATTGGTTACTTCTATAAAAAAATAATAACCCTTCTTAATTGAAATTGGGATAAATTATGCGTTTAGTATCTGAACTTTCATTTTTTTAAATTATACATAATGTTTAATTTTGTTTCATTTTAGTATTCCACTGTTAAAAATTTAACGGATGAGCTGACATAGTATAATTTCGATAGACAGACGACCAATCCGAAAGGTGGACCACAAGATGATGACGAGTCGACCATAGTTTCAAACCTATCAGAAGGTGGATCATGAAGATCGAAGGATGAAGAAATCGAAGAGTCCATCGTCGATTTCGGGAGATTGAGGCTTTTTTTCGATGAAACAGAGGTTGAAATAGCGTTCAGGGGTCGAAAATGTGCGGGCTGGAATGTTTGGGTTTCATCGACTGACAGATGCGACGGTCGGCGATTCTGTCTGTTAAGTTTTTAATGGCTAGGTACTAAAATGAAATTAGAACTAAACGTTAGGAATGATCTTTAAAAAAAATGAAAGTTTAGGTAATAAGATAAACCAAAACTGATAGTTTATGTACTAAATGTGTAGTTTGCCCTTGAAATTATTATTATTGTTGTTGTGCCAAATTGAAATTATTGTTCAGTTTCTAGAATGTTGACTTGGTTCATGTTGATTTAGGCCTAAACTAAGCCCTCTCTGTCAAACCTCGCAATGTAATATAGATTCACTTTCTAGACAAATTATTAGAATTTTATACTAAATCGTTGTCATTTTATTACAAGTAAACTAAAATACTAAACCTAAATCTGAAGGTAATTTTGTAAGAACTATAATCTTAATAAAAACAATGACTATATATATATATATATATTCCTCAACAATAAGACAAATTTTATGGAATTCTAATCCACTATGACCCTGAAATTGACATGTTTTCTTGAATGCCTTTTGACTCTACTCTCTAATTGTAGATCATAAATCATGTAAGTTTGTCGGCGATCACATTAAAATATTGTAGTTGTCCGGAGGATACAAAGCTTTAAAGTTTTAAATAACTTATGAAAACTTAGAAGAAAGGTGACTATCTATTATTGCAGGTAAATCCAGTCCCTTCTCATAAAAGTTACACTTAGATGATAAAAGAATCCAAATCATATTTGTCTTTCAAGTACTTTGGCTCTTGTCCTCAGCAAGGAGTGGGAGAGAATAATTATGGAAACGGATACATCATAAGCCAACAAAAAAAAAAGAACACTACTATAAACTATAAAGAAATGAAGCTATTCGAAAAGAATATGTACCTAAAAGCAAATCTCATGAAAAGAAAGGGGTCAATAAAAGCAATCAAAATAAGACGTGAAATTAAGCTCATTGGAGGAGAAGGAAAGCTACAAGAACCTTACCTAACCCCATTAAAACGAAAAGAACTTTTGGAAGAAAGTATCGGTCTGGCCATACAAGCTCCAACATGCATAAAATAAACTATTCTTTATTAATTGGACTTTGCCAAATCTACTAGGGTAAACTACGTATTTAGTCGCTAACTTATTTCTGCAGTTCAATTTTAGCCATTCAATTTTTTTTTTTAAATATATTTAACGTCATATTTTAGTCATCTCTCGTTAAAAATAAACATAATTGCTGACATGAGTTTTTTTTCTCATTGATGACATAACATTATTTTATGAATCACGTCAACATCACTGTTAATTTTTTTAACGACGAGTAATCAAAATGAAATCAAACATAATATTAGATGTTATTTTTTAAAAAAAGGTAGAAGATTAAAATAAAACAGTACAAGTAGGCGACTAAAGATGTAATTTACGCTGTTATATTGCTATTCTCTATGCGCTAGGGTTACCATTACCCAACTTTTTTTTTCCGTTTTGTTTGCCCATATATTGTCATAGGAATCTGATAATGAGTTGCCAAATCGTAGATGAAAACCATCCATTTTATGCAGTATATATATGTTGTGTTCGGTGCATTATTCGACTTGAAAAGGTTCGATGCCTTTGGATCGTAACTTTAGGAAGAAGTAGAAAAGGCTTGTACTTTGGGGAGAGGAGAGGAAGTGCTTGAAGAGAAAAGATGGGGAAAAGGTTGCTTGTTAGCAAGTTGATCGACCAATACGTGACGGTTCTTAAACAACACGTTAGGAAAATTAAGATATTTCTTTTGGAAAAGTATGAAGTGGGTGAATTTGTTAACTTGGTTAAGTACTTGGTCCTTAAGCTATAGAATAAAAGTTGAGTAATAGAAGTAAATATCCAAATACTACAATAAGATTATGTATGTATACATCTAAGAAAGATAAATAAGTTTCTGTTTGATCTATAATTTAATAATAATAACAATTTGATATACTAACAATAATTTTTTAATTGAACAACCAATAATTAAAAATCACTTTCACACCCCTAGCATTTCTTGTGCTCGAACCCGGGACTTCAAAGAATTACAACAATTCCTTTACCATTGAGATCGCTTGGTTCGTGCCACTATATATCCTTATTTAATATTTAAAAATAAAAAATATGAATGATATATCAAGGTTTTTAAAAACCAACTTATGAAATTTAAAAAATATAAATGTAGTAGATAATAGTATATAATTATCAATAATAACTCTTAACTTCTTTTTGGATCTTGTATTCATAAATGTTATTTGTCTTACCTTTACTTCCTTTTTTTTTTGTTGATTTTTAATTTTGATTTGTTTGAATTCCATCATGGCCTGATCAAAATTAATCTCACCTTAATCACTGTAGTGTCATATACCTCAAAATGGAAAGAGAAGTGGAAAACTTACCGGGGAAAGAAAAATGGAGTGGTGAATTCTAGCCCAATTTCAAGATCCATAATCAGTCCAGCATAATTCCACCTCTGCTTCATGGAAAGAAGAGAACATGATGAAATGCCATTTCGGAAGCTTTGAAGTCGGATTATGTAAGGTCCCAATTTGATTTTTGGATAAGTGAAAGTATTTATAATTCCGACAGCCGGAGGTCTCCCATGGAAGTTGCTCTCAACCTGACGTTGGGGGCAGCCTACTACTCTACCTCCCCCTTACCTCATTACATATGGGAATAGGGTCAACTAATTTTTGAAGTATTTATATTAACACTATGAAAACCCAACACCACCAACCAGTGCTATGAAGAAAACCAGCGTGTTACATGTCTGGAGGGTTTTTTACTTCACCCTGTGAACCAATTTTATAATAAACCCCCAAAAAATAAGTCTTTGCAAAATGCTAACAAAAAAAATATGATGAAATTACTTTGCATTTCTTTCACTACATATCTTATCGGCTGGTCATATCATGTCATGTGTATATTCATACCAAGAACACTACATCAGAGGATTCTATCCTGAAGATCCGACATAAAAGTGGATGCAAAGGAGCTAAGTTTCTTTCCGGTCTCCCCTGCAATGTTCTTTAGGTTCGAGATGTCCTGTTGTGCCTGACAGAAGATTTCACAAATGAAAGATAAATTACCATGTATGTTATACGCACTAAAGCATGCAAGGGATGATGCAATTTAGACGGCAGACCTGGAACGAGAGCCGGTTGATGAGGTCACTGGCGGAGAGGTCTAGATCCTCATCCTTGCCAAACTGAACCCTGCAAAAATATTCATCTCAGGAACCACATTTCAAAAATAAATTAGCTGTTACCTGATCAACGGATTATCCACTACTTCCTCTTATGCCTATGTTTTTCGTTATAATAAGCATTTGCTATTTCTCTTGCTACCTTACCGCTATTAACTGATGCTAGTACATTAAAACTTAAGCTGAAAAAGAAAATAAATAAATAAATAAATCTTATGATTACAGTTCTTCTAAGCATATACTTTATTTACAGCCAACCCTCAACCAGAAAATTAAGGGAAAGTATATTGTACAAAGGTAGTAAAAATTCGTAGTTGGAGATGGTAATGGACGGGGCAGATGTTTCCCTGTCCCGACCCTACATAACAGAAACCTAAAACAACTTGAAACATAATTCCTTCAACTCAAATTCAAACACATAAGTAAAAGATGTATCCGACCCCAAATTTTTAAACAGAAACCCACCCGACCTAATTTTTTTTAATAAAAAACCCTAAATTTATTATATCAAAATAATTAGAAAATGATATTTTAGAAAATATATGATTCTTCTAAATTCATCCTGTCCGACTACAAAATTGTTAACAAAAAACCACTCCAAAACCCGATTTAAAAAAAATCAAACCTTATAAGATCAGGTTAGAACTCATGGGTTTTGGATTTTTTGCCATCCCTAGTCGTAACGGAGTAATACAGTCTCTTGTGCACATAAAATAGATATCTTTCGAGAAAGGAAAAGCCAGTGTACATACAGAGAATTTCTGCAAAGTAGCTTGAGCTTCATTATCTGCTGATGAAATAGATTTCACATTCGAGAACTTTTTCCTAGCTTCATCAGTTTCCTGAATCTGGGATAAAAAAAAAAAAGCAATAAGAAACACAGCGAAAAGGCATACAGATGCAAGAAATAATAACAAACATTGACCACTTCAAGGGACAATTAGAAAAATTAAAAGATAATCACACAAAACTTCCTACCCGTCAAATTCTCCAACCTTGTATTACATAAACGTGTGATCCAAGCAGATTCGAGGTGTCTCATAAAGTTTCCACAAACACGGCATGCAAACTTAAATGTCATGTATTGAAATTTGATTTTCAAGGAAAATATAAGTTCACTTTAGCTAAAAGCATGACCAGAACTATGTATACTGGGTTCAATCCCTTGATGTCAGACATCCTCAATATGAAAGTTATAAATATATTTACCAGAAGTTTTGCAATTGACCTTGAGTGATTTGAAGAATCAAACGGAAGAGCCGTATGTTCAAACCAGAAAGAGACTTTCCATCAAATTAATCGGCCATCTATACACAAAACATGCAAGTTCTAGATCTTTGACAGAGGTACATTACTTACTTGCACTTTTGGGGAATTTGAGCTTGATTTTTTCTCAACTCTACTGTCCATTCCAAAATCAGAAAAAAAGCTAGATGACTTTGGAGGAGCAACATGACTAAGCACTTGTGGGCGACCAGAATTCAACTCATTAGATTGGCCATTTTCTACGTACTCAAAACGCGATGGAAAAGATGAGCCAATGGGTGCTGCAGGCTTTTTTGTTGAGGAAGCAACAGGGACAACGGGTTCTTGAGGCTTCTGGTCATATATATTTTCACTCGACTGAACTAAAATGATGTTATAAAGAGAAAAGGCACCGACAATAACTCCAAAATAAGTAATTGTTCTAATTGAGATATCCTTATGATCAGTCTAATGTAATTGCATTGCTCAAAATAGTCTATGTGAATACCTTAGATGCAAGCTTTCGGGCACCAAGCCCCCCAGCTTTCCCAGTTTTCTTTGCACCAAGAGGCTTCTTGACAGTGCTTGTAACAGTTGTACGAGAAGACTTTTGCGGAGCAGAAACTTCTGTTTTTTCTAACCTGTCTAAAGAACTTTCTTTAGGAACCTCATCAATCTTGCTATCAAGAAGTCCATTGGATGCTTTTGATGACTGAGAGGCAACCAGTGATGATGGTAAACTCGACACTTCTGCCAAGTTTTTAGTGACTTCTTTTGATAGTATTTGCCTATATAACTCAGCAGCCCTTGAAGTATATTTGGACTCAATTTTGCCTCCATCAGTCCATCCATGCTGCTTAAAGAAAACTAGTGCACGGTTGATTCCTCCATAGATCATCATTTTCAATTGTTCAGGAAACCATGAATCTAAATTTGTAAACCTGCATAAAATATGAATGCTGTTAAGAACAAGAAGAGAGGAACGCAAAGTCTCACGAGTATATAATCAATATCAGGGACATTGTATGATAGTATCGACATCAAAGATTCTCAAGTCACAAGTCTTCACTAATGAACATGTGAACATGTTTCAGAGTAGACAGAAAATACCTGAAAGCTCACGCTTTTCTGGCTAGTAAGGAGGACACTCTTGAAAAAGTATTTTTTGGGCCAGTATGGGTATTCTTGAGAAAGTGCCTAAGTGATTATGTCTATCCAAATTTGGCTAAACATGAGTACCTAAAACCCTACAACCCAGAAAATAGCAAGTTGGGAAAAATATGCATGCTACATGTTAAATACGCGGATTAATATCTACAAGAAGGGTTCCAGCTATCAAACCATTACACCCCCTAGAAAAAAGAAAAATTATCCTGAGTAGTTTTTAGAACTATATCTAACTTAGTGGTAGCTTATCTCATATGCATAAGATGCCAGACAAGGCATTTATCACATTCATAAAAAAAAAAAACAGAGAAAAAGAGGATATTTCATATTAGGATTCGAGTCCAATGCAAAACATCATTTTAAATATGAACAAAACTCACCAAAAAAAAAAAAATCGCGGGGAGGCAACATTGAAAACAAAGTATAGACCTCCTAGAAAGAATATATAACAGATCATACCTCAGTTGAGGCGCTTATAAAAAAATAATATTAAGTATAAAAGGAACAAAATTTTCTCAAAATCATTCATTTGGCGATTCCACCTTCTGGAGATCCCCTCCAATAGTAACAATCTGCTAGCTCAAACCTTTCATATATTAAATTTATAAATGTCAACACCAGACAGTTCGGTTTCTTTACGGAAAGATGAATCGGAGGGCAAAGCCAAATCAATTTTCTTCCCTTTACATAATTCAGCAAAAAAATCCAACGTGTTCGCACATAATTCGGAGCTTAGATCACAAAACTAGAACTAAAACACAAATAAAAATAAACAAACGGCATATTCAATAATAAGAAGACGCCGATACCTGACAAAGCTGACGTGGACACCAAGACTCCGATGAACGGCTGAGCAATCAATGCAGAGAAAGATCCCATACGTCACCGATGCCCATGTCGGATTCCTCGCGTTACAATCGAAACACATCTAGGAAATAAAATAACGATGAATAATCGGAGATGTAGAAAAAGAATTTTCCAGATCCAAAAAATATTAAAAATAAAACAAACAAACCTTGTTATCTGATTTAGCTTTCAGCTTTCTGAAAACGGCGTTCTTATCGCTCAGATTATCGTAGGACGCCATAGACGTTTTTGTTGGTTTTTGAATATTATTTGAATTAATTGTTTAGGAATTGATAAAGAATTGGCGTAACTTTTGTGTTTTATGAAGAAGAAGAGAAGGTTTGTTGTGGAGAGGCGTTGTATCCTCTCCTCTCTTCTCTTCTCTTCTCCTTTCCTCTCTTCTCTTCTCTTCTCTTCTCCTCTCCTCACGCAAGGCTTTAGAACTGGAGACAACAGCAGTATAAATGCAACCAAGTTTATTATGGAAACGACGATTGTAGCATTGTTGATTTCCATGAAATTGACGTAAATGATCTTGAGGGAAACGTGGTGGCGGGAAAGGGGTCCCCGAGGAGTTTGGTGACCAAGTGGCGGTTATTACCCACCCCCTAATTTGGATGTTCAAACCTCAACTAAGTACATATTTAGGGATGGATATGAGAACCAAATCCGATGGGTTTCGATCTGATATGATCGGTTTTTTAAATTTTTTTGGATCCGAGTAGGGTCAGGACGGATTTTTTAAAGGTGATGTTTGGGTTGGGTCAGATTTGAGCTTAGGGTGAAAAATACTCGATCCGACAAAAAAAAATAACTTTACCTTATATATTTAGGAATAATTACAATAATACCCCTCTATATATTATTTTTTCCAATTAAATCACTATTTTTATTGAATAAAAATAATATTTTTATTATTATTTCTGGTCGGGTCAGATCGAATTCAGATTAAATCTCAAAAAATCAGATCGAATTCGGATCGAGTGGAGAGTATATATTTTTCGAGGTGGGTTGAAGCTGGTGAAAGATATAAAATTTTCAGGTGAGATCGGTTTGACAAAAATCCGACCCAAACCCCACCAATGACCATCCCTATACATATTTGTTCCACCTAAGCTTCATTTGTTTTGATGGTTCAACCTATTTCTAGGGATTTATTATTATATTATTATTTGCAATTTTAAGGTATAACAGTTAGTCAACTGTTTGAAATTCCATCATTCCTCAAAGTATGAGGGATATCTTTTAGGGTGCGTTTGGTTCACGGAATGTAAGATTACCAGTAGAAATAAAAGATTATCAGGGAATAAGATTGCTGAGAATGTTACATTACTGTGTTTGGTTGGTTTGGCAAGAATGTAAGATTACAGTGTTTGGTTGAAGGAATAAAAGATTATTGGAATGTATATTTTATCAAATTGTCATTGTTCTATATTTTTTAACAAGTTAAATTCTAAATGTTTAAATAAAAATTATTTATATAAAAATTCTATTTGTTGATAATATATTACTTGAGTATTTAAATATATAATGTATTATTTTTAAAGACTTAGTGGCTTGTTGCTATTTTGAGATTTCGGATTAGAATATTATATATGTAAAGGTACGAGCAACAACGTATATTGGTTGAGAACCTTTAAACATGTATTCCCCTGATTTTAGATTAGATTTATATATATTAAGTTCGAATTTAACTCAGCTCGATTACACCCAATTCTTTACTAACATAACATTGTTTATAAGATGAACTTAAATAAATAAAACCTTAAAGATTAATATTTTTTTCTTTATGAGCTTAAAGCTGTAATATTTGCACTCTGTTTAAGCTTTAAGTTTTGTTTGTTGAATCTAAAAAATAGTAAACAATAGAAAATCGTAAATTTGAACCAAATTAAATCGAAAACTATGCTTTTTATGTCATTTGATTCGATTTCAGTTTCCATTTTTATAAAATCTGTTTTGCTAGATTAATATTTTATTAAAAATCAAATCGAATTAAATACACCCATAACTTATATTATTGCAGGTGAAATTCAGTGCAGTGGTGAGAACAACACTGAGTGACCTCCTTCAGTTTTCATACTCTACTAGATGTTACAAAGAAAAGTTTTTCCCAGAATCTAATTGAATCCTTTGCCTTTTCAAAATACGAACATCGTTTTAATCATGATTGATATAATCTTAAACCGAATCTAAAATATGTAGTTAAAAACTGATTTAACAGTCGATAGCATCGATACTGGTACGATACAAACTAGTATGATTAACAGTCAAAACTGAGTAACTTGGGCAAAGGATATTGAAGCTAATTCAAGTTATCTAATCTAAGCTGAAATCTAACAAGTACTAGCTTTTCATTTCTGCAGAAATGATGAGAATCCTTCTTAATTCAACTTTCTACAAGTCTGGAACCTATATTATTCCGACCCTTAATTTTCCTTTATGTATTTGTGTCCAGAACATACTCGAACATCCGTATCCAAAAATTGGTGATGCTTTTGAGGTTAAACAAGTGAAAACATACATGGCAGGAAATCAACCTCGGTTTCCTTTATGCATTCAAGTGAGCACAAATTGCGTTCAAATGTGGTAGGATATAAAAATAGTAGCCATATGTAATCGAATCGGTCTCAAGCATAAATCGGGTTATGCTTCGCTCATGTATGCAAAGCCTAGACACTTCCCCTTATTAACTCAGAGTGCTAACAAACAAATTTGTTCAGACAAAGAAATGGAACACGCTCAGGAAAATACAACAAACGAGACCATACATCAAGATTCTTGTCACTATACACCTCAACATCTAAAAAACTTTCCACCAGCATACCGTCAGAAAATCATTGAAGCATAGAAACAAAATATAGAAGTAATTACCTATTCAAAGAAAAAAGCAAGAGTAACGCGTGTGACACCATGAGTGGTCCTTGGGATCCTTCGAAGGACTTTGTTTTATAGTAGAAGTACAACACGAGTTGTAGAATCCCCAAAACAGTTCTAAACCTGAAGAACAAAGATGTGATGTTAACAGATAAGATCGACAACTATCAAATTGAAAACAAGAAGCTGTCATCGATGTTAGAGGCAACTCACGTTAATAAAGGCATCGAAGTTAAATATGCAATATAGGAAGAACGAGGTGCTCAACAAGAATGTTGAGAGGGAGAGATAGAATGGGATGAATTCAACACTCTTTGTTCGAATTCCTAAATTCTGGGAACAAATATCATGTCATTAAAAAATTTAAAAATTTCCAAAATCAATCAAAATATAAGAGAAAAGAAAACTACAAGCGCATTTGATCAGCCAACTTACGATTATAAACAATGGGGAAGCAAACATTGATACGAGAGAAGCACAACTTAATAACCCAACAAAGATCCATCGCATTCCTCGGTCGGCTATCTGCAAGCTTCCAGCAACTATGATTTCGAGAAAGCCAAAAACTGCCAGTAGCAACCCAATCATCCTAATCTGCCATCAACACAATGAATATGACTGACAGTGGAAAACAACACCTATGGTACTCGGACTTCCCGTTTTTCTTAAAGTACTTAATATTCAACACCTAGACCGATGGTACGAGAGAAGGCTCCTCATATCATACGAGAGCACGAGAGTCCAGGTAACATGAGAACAATACAGATTACAGAGTGCACTTAAGAAACAAATAGACTGTAAAAACAAATGCATCTAAAGATAACCTTTTTCTCTCAGCATGCACGATGAAGATGATAATGTAGGTCATTTGAAAAACTACACCGATCGAATTAACCGTCATAACCAGCACATTGTCATAAGATATCAAGGGCGTGCCATACCACGTACAGATCAAGCAGTTCAAGCGATCATATATATAAGGCAATCCCGAGAAGTTCTTGGTAGACTGGTTTCTGATAATTCTTTTAAACGTGGGTCTCAAAAGTTAAAACAAAAGACAATAACCAGAACTAATTAGAGGATAAGATATGCCAATGTATTCATTTCAATGATAAATTCTTAAAACTTGGAAAGTAGAACATACAAGGGTGATACGAAAAGCCCAAAAGTAAAGATGTTCCCTGAAATGAAAAAGGATCAAGATCAGATTGAAGCCACTTCATATGATTTTACACATCAAAACTTGAATATAAAGTAAAGAAACTGAAGACATTGAATTATCAAACAGAATTCATAATTACGAACGAGTGAGAAACTCCAGATTTATTGAGTATCAAAGCAACATTGTCTCAATAACACCATTGGTGAATGTAAGGTATCCATAAACAAGACAACAATTACCATTCATAACTTAGAGACTATGGAAGAACAACAACAAGCTTTCACAGGTGCATCCAATATTTAGAACAACAACCTCTAAATCCTCATCGGACTCGAGTTTTAACTCGATAATAAGCTAGAAAAAAGATTTCAATCCAAAAAACCTAGAAACAATAGACATCATTGACATCAATGTTTGAAGTGCTTCTTCAACTTCCATCAAATCTACATATAGACATTGAATTGTAAAATTGTAATAAGATTTCCCAAGAAAATAGATACGCTAATGAAGATCATATAAAATCGAACTCAACTCGTTTTAGTTCAAGTTTCTCAAAGAAAATTTATACCAAAAAAGAAAGAAAAAAATAGCATTTTCAGCACTTTCAAGGGAAAAAGCAAACTCTTTTTATGATTCAATGACAAACTGATCATCCCTTAACCTAAAAAATCTTCAAGAATAGACTAATGGATCATTTTCATCTCAATAAAAAAAATAACGAGAAATTAATCAAATCAGTTCATCTTCAAGAATAGACTTATGGGTCATTTTAAATTCAATCCAACAACCAAAATGTCAACAAAAATGTAATCAAATTAGTTTCTAATTAATTTCCTTCAAATTACAATTACATGAGAATGAACAAGGGATTTAGAGCCATTGATAAAAACATAACAATATATTACACAAAAGTCTCTCAAATCCTCTCTTCAAACCGATTTTAACAAAAGAAAGAGGAAACCCCTGACAAGAGCGAGAGGTATTACCCTCTCCTTGTAGAAATATCAAGTATCCATTTTTATTTAATTTTAAAGCATCTACGACTATTGAGGAACCATCAACTTTCTTTAACTTCATAACGCGATTTGTCTATCTAATTTTTTAGAATACTTTGCAGATTAGGGTGTGTGAGTGGCGTATATCATTATCCTACACCCATGTCAAGAACATACACTTCAAGAAAAGACAACGAAGCCCAACAATATATGCTCGAATTTAACATTAAATGGTGAGAAATCAGCACACCCTTCGATTGTTCTAGGCTCAACAATGGAGGAAAAGCAGGGTGAAAAAAGTAAAAGAAACAAAGGGTACAAAATTATAAGACATTGTAACTTCAAAAACAAATAGCAGAGTAGTAAAAACAGAGTATCGGAATGACCAACAACATGAAATAAGAAACTATGTTAAAATTCACAGCGATATGCAAATAGTCATGTAAAAAGAAAGAAAGAAAAATCCTACAGAAATAAATAGCAGAGCATTAAACAACAATGCTGTTCAAAATCGACATAAAAATCAAAAGGAAAAAAACATGAACCAGAAAAACTAAAAAAAACACAAAGAACAACGATCAAATATTCAACAAAGGACCAGAAACCATACCCTAGAGAGAGAATTTCTAGGGTTTTAAACAGAAGAAGAGGAGAAGGGAAGAGCTGAAGAATCGGGTCTTTAACTAGGTAAGATAGCGAAAATGGAGGGTTTAAGGGAATAAAATTGAAATAAATAATCCCGGTAAAGAGAAGGGTTCTTTTTGACCCAGAAACATATACTAGCGGGGATAAGAAAGGGAGTGGAGAAGAAATATTACCAGGAGCGATGGATTTTTCGCAGCACAGGGAAAAGAAGATATTGCACAGAGGCAAGCTGGAAAAGAGGGGTATTTAGCCCTTAGTACGAGAATAAAATAAACCCTACCACACATACGGGAATAAGATTCCCAGGAATAAAACTAAAAAAATTACTGTTGGTAATATAATATTACCCTCACTTGGGAATCATACCCCAATCAAACATGTGTATCCTTCATCATGAAATAAATATGGTTGCTGGTAATGCTAAATTCCTTGATCAAAATGGACTCTTAGGCTTTACTTTTTTTCTTTCTTTATTTCGGAGGATGCCTTTTGTTATTTAGAGTAAACTAGAAGTTGATTTTGAAAAATGACTTTTAAAAATATTGTATATATTTTTTAATTTTTTTAAAAATTAAAATTATAATTATTTAAAATTATTGTTAAAATAATTTTGAAAAGATAAAATGTAAATACATAATTAGTACAGAAAATTGAATTTTAAAGTGTTTTTTCATGATAAATTAGTGAAGTCCATACATTAATAAAGGTAAAAATATAATTTTGCTTCTAAAAACAAAGTTAGAAATGAAAGGATAAAAATCATAACGGATGGCTTGAAATCATTTTTTTCAGTACATTTTTTCCAGTTTTTACTCATTTAACATTAATTTTATAGCCAAAATGAACTTTTTTACTAAAAGTGTTTTTAGATGGGGGCATTGCCAGTATTCTTTTATATTAAAAAATAAAATACAAAATTAATATATCATTAGTTATTGTTAAAGTAATAATATGATTATTTTTCTTTTCATGTTATTAAATCATACAATTCAGGTCACATAAAAATAAAATTGATCATATTTCAAAAATATAAAATTTATATGTCAGTTGAACGTTTAATGCTATTTTAAAAGAAAGTATTTACAGAAAACCTTAGATGCAAAAAGACCTTGAGTAGTCAGCCGACCTTCAACTTCCTAAACGGCAGCACTGGCGAGATAAAAATCCACCGGATATCACCGCCACCTCCTTGGATACTCAACCTCTTGCCATGGATTGTGATGAATCTGATAAAGTTTTACCCACTGCCTCTTCCTATCGTGATAAACTCATTGGTGCCTGTGATTAAGCACATGCAGAAGACCTTTTCCTCGACGATGACGATATTGATCTGTTTGAAGACGATGTCGAAGTTGGTGAAACGAATGGCATACCATTTATCAATTTCTCTCAAAAGCATGGATCTAACGTTGGTAGTGAAACTGCTCGGTCACCTTATTGGTTATAACACGCTTTAGAATTGAATCCTTGCTCTTTGGAAATCGGCTCACCCCATTAAACTGATTGACATAGAGAACGATTATTTCTTGGTTAAGATTGCTGCAAGGAATGATTGGATGGACTGTGGCATGGGTTCGATTGCTAGGGCTCCCAGTTACCTGGTACAAAAGAAGCCTGATTCAAGCAATTGGTGAACGACATGGCACTGTCATTAAGATCGACTACCAGACTGATAACGATCGCCGGGGAAGATTTATGAGTATGGCTATCACCGTGAACTTGAAGAAATCTTTGATCTCAAAATTTGAAATCAACGGACGAACCCAGATTGTTGAATATGAGTCGTTGCCTGTGGTGTGTTTTCATTGTGTTATATTCAGGCATACACATGAACTTTGTCCAATTAAAACAGCGAGCGAAACAAAAACTACGATGTCGGCTGATGTCACTCATACACCTCTATCGATCCTATCCCGTAAGAGCCTACAGTCCTTGGATACTGGTTGAAAAGGGGCAACGTCGCCAAAATCAAAAGGATAATGTAACAATGCTCATAAATCCACCACTGAAATTGAGGCCTATCGCTTCTATCCACTATCTGAGTTTGATCTGATCCGACTGAGTCTTGTACCAACTAGGCCTTGAAACCACGAGACAATAATAAACCAGCCAAACCTAACCCTAATCTCAGGCTGAGAAATATAAACAGCGCCAACAAAGAAAATCTAAGTCACTTTACTGATTCCTCCAAAGCAAAAAAACAAAGCCCTCATCCAGTTTTGTAAACCACATGCCATTGTTCTTGGGAAGAAGAACCTCAAAATTAGTAATGCCCGAACCCTTTTGAAACAACATGACCCCGCTAATAAGACTTCTGGTATCCGTGATCAAGCTCCCTTTCCCAACCCGAGCAACCATGTGAATGTTGAGATTAAACACCTAATGACACCTCTCATACTCTCGATGGTAAGGCTCCCAGCCACACCCATGCTCGCAAGGGGCATTGGCTAACTACAACCCAACCAGTGTGGCTATAGATACCCCTACAATGCCACCGACCCCACATACAACTTGCAGCACTCTTCGTCAAATGTAGCAGTGAACACATTCTTTGACAATATTGATGGTCAAATAGACCCTGGTCTCCAAGTCAATGTTGATGGCCCGATGGCCATGATTGAATGCTCTCCAGCCTCTTGGGTTCTCCTATTTTTCATGTTTTAATAGATTGTAAAATATTTGTCTAGAACACTGAGGCTTTGGAAGCAGAAATTTTATTCGTGTCATGAGGCAATATCTTTGTGATAACTACCTCTCTATTTGTGTCTTTGTCAAGACTCGGATCAATAAAATCAATGTTTCAAGAGTCATTGAGCTTCTGGGGTTTGTTACGGAAGACGGCTATCAGATAGAGCAAAATCGCAACTGATAATTTGAGAAAATAAAAAATGAAGATAAAAGAGACACAAAATTTACAAGGAAAACCCCTAAATAATATAGGATAAAAACCACGGGCAACAGTAGAAGAATTTCACTATGAGGAAATAGGAATTACAACTTCTCTCGATCTACCAAGGAGAAAACAATGATAATTCTCTCTTGATAAATAGGAGAAAACAACTCTCAAGAAACTCTCTAAATTCTCTATAGTATTGGAAGAAAGCTAGAATGCTTTGTGATGGTTTTGAAGCTAAATGAGCTAGGAAATTTATAGTTGAAGCTTAAGGACTAATCTTATAAATACCCTAAAGTTTAGTGACTAAAGTTTGTAATTTTTCCATTTAATTTTCAACCATTTTAACTACCTAATTTTGAACCAAATTTGCAGCCAACATGGACCAAATTCAGCCACTCCATGCCGCCCCATTTGCTTGCTTTGACATTTCAACAATCTCCCACTTGAAGATTTGATTGGAACAATCATATCTTCACACCATTCTTTCTACCTTGTACCATCATGTTGCTTATGTCTCTGACAGGCCACAGGAGGATCGACACCAGATAAATTTATCAGCGTTGATCGCCTTCATCATGAAAATGCTATGTTGTCATTGGTATGGATCTTCTGTATATCTACTGTCCCTTCTTCCACCTTTTCACGAATGAAATGGTACTGAACTCGTATGTTCTTTGTCCTTGAATGAAATGCTGGATTCCTTGCTAGATGCAAGGCGCTTTGACTGTCACAAAACAGAGAGACATACTCTTGATTGTGCCCAAGCTCCTCCAATAGCATCTTCAACCAAATTTCTTCTTTACTGGCTTGTATAGCTGCTACATATTCTGCCTCTGTTGTGAATGTAGCCACAACTGACTGCAATTTTGAAACCCAGCTTACACCTCCACCAGCAATTTTGAACACATATCCTGTAGTAGATTTGCTTTTATCCAAATCCCCTGCATAGTCAGAATCAACATACCCATTGATAAGTAAGTTTGATCATCCGTAACATAATGCAACATTTGAGGTCCCTTTGATGTATCTCAGGATCCTCTTTACTGTATTCCAATGCTCTTTGCCTGGATTCTCCATGTATCGACTAACTACTCCCACTGCTTGTGCAATGTCTGATCTTGTGCATATCATAGCGAACATTAAACTTTCCACTGCTGATGCATACGGTACTCGAGACATCTCAATCCTCTCTTTTTCACTGCTAGGACTCATTTTGGAGGATAATTTGAAGTTAATAGGAAGAGGGGTAGAAATTGGCTTACAATCTTGTATGTTGAATCGTGACAAGTTCTTCTTCAAGTAATTCTTTTGTTAAAGCCAAATCTTCTTATTACTTCTGTCTCGGTGAATTTGCATCCCTAGAATCTTGTTTGCTGATCCCAAGTCTTTCATTTCAAATTCCATACCAGTTGTGCCTTCAATTCTTCAATATGATCTTTGTTGGGTCCTGCAACCAACATGTCATCCACATACAACAGTAATATAACAAAATTGTGATCACCAGACCTCTTAAAATAAGAACAAGGGTTTGAATTAAGTCTGTTGTATCCAAGGCACATAATGAAGGAATCAAATCTCTCATACCAATACATCGGCGCCTGCTTTAGACCGTACAAAGATTTGTTCAACCTGTAAACCAAGTTCTTCTTCTTTTTTTCTTCAAAACCTTCAGACTGAAGCATATAAATCTCTTCTTCAAGATTTCCATGAAGAAAAGTTGTTTTAACATCTAGTTGCTCTAGATGTAAGTTCAATGTAGCACACATTGCCAAAACTACTCGAACTGTTGTTAGTCGAACCAAAAGTGAAAATATTTCATTGAAATCAATACCTTCTTTTTGAACATATCCTTTGACCACCAGTCTTGCACGATACCTCTCAACTTGATCGTCACCATTTCGCTTGATTTTAAAGACCCATTTGTTACCAATTGGCTTCCTTTCTTGTGGTAGTGGCACAAGATCCCATGTATTATTTTTATGAAGGGCTTCAATTTCTTCTTGCATCGCCATTATCCACAGTGAAGTATCTGAGCTGTTTATTGCCTCCTGATATGTTGATGGCTCACCGTCCTCTGTTAAAAGGCAGTATGCAACATTTCCTTCTATAACATAATCTGAGTGCCAATTGGGACGTCTTCTCACACGATCTGATTGAGAAGTTGTTGGAGCTTCAGAACTCTCTGGTTCTTGTTCATCATGTGCAGGTTCTGCTTCAGAAGAATCTCCTTGTTCAACCTCCTTTTCCATATCTATCTGTGTAGTCTCTAAATTTTCAGCGCTATCATCATCTTCTTTTCTTTGTAGTTTATCTTCTACAAAGATAACATCCATGCTGATGATCACTTTGCGAGCAGTGGGATCCCATAAGCGATACCCCTTTACACCATCAGCATACCCCAAGAATTTGCATTTCCTGGATTTTGTATCTAGCTTTGAAATTTCTTGGGAGTTGTATATCATGTACACAATACTTCCAAATACATGGAGGTTTGAATAATCAGCTGGTTTACAAGTCCACATCTCCATTGGTGTCTTCAGCTCTATTGCAGTTGATGGAGCTCGATTCACCAAATAACAAGCGGTATTGACTGCTTCTGCCCAGAATGATTTTTCTAGGCCTGCATCCCTCAATATTGCTCTTGTTCTTTCTAACAAGGTTCTGTTCATCTGCTCTGCCACTCCATTTTGTTGAGGAGTATTCGCCAATGTGAACTGTCTTTTGATGCCTTCTTTCCTGCAAAAGTCATCAAATTCTTCGCTTGTGTATTCCCCTCCATTATCTGTTCTGAAACACTTGATCTTGTTTCCAGAATCAAGTTTCACCCGTGCTTTGAAGTTTTTGAAAGTTGAAAACACATTTGACTTCTTCTTAATAGGGTACACCCAACATCTCCTAGAGTAGTCATCAATAAATGAGACAAATTATTTTTGCTCCGCCTAGAGATGTAACTGGTGCTTGCCATACATCAGAGTGAACCAATTCTAGAACAATTTTGCCTCTAGAATTTGACGTGTTGAATTTCAACCGGTTCTGCTTACTTGTTATGCAATGCTCACACAAAGTAAGCGATACCTTTGTTAAGCCTGGAAGTAGCTTTTGCTCCACAAGGACTTTCATTCCTTGTTCTGACATGTGTCCAAGTTTCTGATGCTATAGCATTGCAGAATCTGAACTACATGAGGCAACAGAGGCTTCTGCTTCTAGCAAAGTCTCTCCCTTCAGCATGTACAAGTTTGTTGCTATCTTTTCGTCTTTCATCACCACGAGCGCTCCACGAAATACCTTTATGATTTTTTTCTGTGTTTCAATCTTGATTGCATTATTATCCAACAATCCGTAGGATAATAAATTTTTCTTCAGGCCTTTCACGTGCCACACATCTCGAACAACTTTAATCGTTCCATCATACATCTTCAATTTGATGGTTCCCACGCCAATGATCTCTAAGGCATGATCATTGCAACTATACACAGATCCTCCTGAGACAGATTCATAATGATAGAACCATTCTCTTCTTGAGGTCATGTGATATGTTGCTCCCGAATCAATGAGCCATATATCTGCAAATCTTTTTCTGTCTTCCATAGTGGTTGACACTTTACAACATAGAGCATCTTCATCATCTGAAGTGTTTGCGGTATTGCCTTGTGGGTTAGAGTTTTTATTTAGACTCCAACAATCATTCTTCAAGTGACCCTTCTTTCCACAGTTGTAGCACTTTAAATTCTTCTTGCTCCTCGACTTCGATCTACCATGTTTGTGGCTGCTGATTTGGCCACATTCTGTTGATCTCCCTCTCATCATTGTCAACGCTTCTGCTTGTTGCAGATTTACTTGTCTGTCTTCCTTATTCTTGCGCCGATTTTCTTCTTGGAGAACAGCAACTAAAACGTCATCGAAGACTAGACTGGTGACATTACTATTTGTCAAGTTGATGATGAGTTCATCATATGAATCACGTAGACTTTGAAGTAGAAGTTCAGCACATTCTTGTTCTCTTATTGTACATCTTAAGGATGTAAGCTGAGAAAATAACGCGTTCAGTGTGTTTAAGTGCTCCATCACTAAAGTAGATTCTGACATACTGAGAGTGTACAATTTCCTCTTAAGGAAATTTTTTATTGTGCAACGATGTGGCCTCATATAATTTGGTGAGATGATCTCATATCTCCTTAGTTGTCTTCTTCTCCTCGATGCTTGACAATACTTCATCTGCTAATGCTAGATGAAAGTTTGTCATAGCATTCCCGTCCATTTCGATCCATTTGTTGTCATCTGTGAAATCCACCAGCCTTTCACTGATAGCTGCCAGACAACCGTTTTTCCTCAGGATGGCCTTCATCTTCAATTTTCACAATGAGAAATTTCTCCAATTGAATTTTTCAATATCAAATTTCGTTGTCATAGCTTCTTTAACGGATAGCTCCCACTATTTCACTATCATGAATAGTTCTTTGGAACCTTCAAAGAATGGGTAATAACTTCTTACTTTCTTATGTTGGAGGATCCACCTTTTGGTGGCAATCATAAAGACAATAAACATATATTACACACTCTAATCTAGCTATGATACCAATTGTTGCGGAAGACAGCTATCGGATAAAGCAAAATAGTAACTGATAATTTGAAAAAATAAAAAAATGAAGATAAAAGAGATACAAAATTTACGTGAAAAACCCCTAAATATTATAGGGTAAAAACCACGGGCAACAGTAGAAGAATTTCACTATGAGAAAACATGAATTACAACTTCTCTCGATCTACTAAGGAGAAAATAATGATAATTCTCTCTTGATAAATAGGAGAAAACAACTCTCAAGAAACTCTCTAAATTCTTTCTAGTATTGGAAGAAAGCTAGAATGCTTTGAGATGGTTTTGAAGCTAAATGAGCTAGGGTATTTATAGTTAAAGCTTAAGGACTAATCTTATAAATACCCTAAAATTTAGTGACTAAAGTTTGTAATTTTTCCATTTAATTTTCAACCATTTTAGCTACCTAATTTTGAACCAAATTTGCCGCCAACATGGACCAAATTCAGCCACCCCATGCCACCCCATTTGCTTGCTTTGACATTTCAACAGGGTTGTCTCATTCTTTCCGAATTGAGGATATTGGCTTTACTGGTGGCATTTGGCTCTGCTGGTACGATGATATTCACATTGATATTCTTTTTTGCCACTTTCAATTCATCCATTATCATATTACAGATAAATGACAACAAGCTATGGTACCTTTCTTGGCTGCTTTTATCTATTTTAGCCCCAGGGCCTCTTCTAGGAAGCTCTGTTGGAATTATCTTCGCTCTACTACAGCTGCTATCACTGATCATTGGATATTGATTAGGGACTTTAACGCTATCTTATATTCTGATGATCTAAATTGTTGTGCTCCATCCTCCGCTCCTGAAATTACTTTTCAAGATATGGTATTTGATTGTAGCTTGAAAGATTTAGGTTTTCATGCTCCGAGATACACCTGGTTCCGTGGATATTGTTCAGTCTGTCTTGACCGTGGCCTGGGTAACTTTGCTTGGTTCGAAACCTTCCCTCTATCTTCAGTCGAGAACCTCATACGCATGAAGAGTAATCACCGCCCACTTTTGCTTTCTCTTAATGCTACTCCTAAATCGAACTATTGTGCTCCCTTCCGATATTTATCTGTATGGCCTATGCATCCGGATTTCGAGCGCCTCGTCAAGAATAGTTGGGACCATAGCTTCCTATAGTAGAAGCCATTACTGATTTCTCCCATGATGTCATTGAACCACAATGTCTTTGGATATATAGGTACAAATAATAAAAAAAATCCTCATGGCTTGCTTAAGTGGTATTCAAAGATGCCTTAGCCTCTAGACGATCTCACCATCTTATTAAGCTCGAGTCAAAACAGCTTTTGGAATTAGAAACTGTGCTTGATCGGAAGAGCAACTCTGGATTCAAAAATCAAGTACTCCGTATGACTCCACTTAAGGCCCCTGGTATTGATAGGATGCATGCATAAATTTTTCAAAATATTTGGGCAATTATTTTTTTTTGATAGGAAATATTTGGGCAATTATCAAGTACTCCATTTGTACGATGGTTGAATTGGCTTTCCCTCATCGATAAATTGATCCTCTCATTGTGAGCATAGTTCTTGTACTTATCCTTAAAATCAACAATCTGGATACTTTTGCAAGCTTTTTCCCCATTAGTCTTTGTACAGTTCTTTACAAACTCATAACAAAAATCATTGTTCGAAGGCTCCGTGATATCCTTCCTAAGCTTATTGGTCCACAACATTCTAGTTTTTTTAAAAACGAATAAGCATTGTCAAAAATGTGATCATAAATCAAAAAGTGGTTCACTCGATACACATGAAGAGGGGGAAATCGGCTGGATGATTATTAAAGTTGATCTACAAAAAGCTTTCGAATGATTAAGATGATAATTTATTGAAGATACTCTCACTGATGCTGGGCTCCCCCACGATTTGATTCATCTTATAATGCTAGAAATTTCTTCTTCTGACATCCAAATTCAATAGAATGGATGCTTGAGTTGTTCTTTTAAACCAGGAAAGGAATCCTGTAAGGAGATCCATTATCCCCTTATCTGTTCAATCTTACCATGGAGCGTTTGAGTCATAGTATCACCAACTTGGTTTCTTCTAGAGCTTGGTCGACTTTTAGCCTCGCTAGAAACGACACTCATGTCTCTCATGTGTTCTTTGCCGATGACCTTATCCTTTATGCCAAAGCGGACATTGATCATACGACTCTTATAGAAGATACGCTTACAACTTTTGGCTTATTCTCTGGCCATACAGTAAGCAAGCATAAGACTACCATTTTTTTTTCTCTCTGAACACTGATGCCTTTCTTCGTGATGTCATTTGTGCTAAACTAAGTTACAACAAAATCTTTGATTTGGGAAAGTACCTTGGTGTTCCCGTTCGCCACTCTGAAGCAACTCAAGAATTATACAACTTCATCCTTGATAAAGTGCAACAAAAGCTCGATAGTTGGTCTGCAACGACTCTATCTTTCACTAGCCACCTCACTCTCTCTAAGTCGGTTTTATTGAGCATCCCCTCTTACATTATGAAAGCCTGTAAGCTTCCGGGTCTCTCTTTGTGATAAAATTGAACTAATGGTACGATGATTCATATAAGACACTAACGAAACTACGGACCGAATATCTCTAGTCAATTGGGTTACTTTGTGCAAACCAATCCCTCATGGAGCCTTGGGCATACAAAAATGCGCATTCAAAATTTTGAGTTTTTATTCAAAAATTTTAATTCCCTTCTGCAATCGCCTCAAGCTCTTTGGAGCAAGCTTCTTCGAGAAAAATACAAAATGGCCCTTCTCTGCCCATCTTCAATTGCTCGCCCAGGTTGTTCCCCCTCTGGAGGTCTCTTACTAACATTTTGCTCTTCTTCTATAGCTATCTGACATGGTCAGTCAGTAATGGCCAATCCATCAACCTACGGCATGACTTATGGATTCCTAAGGTTGGCACTTTTGTCAACCTCTCTCCCAATTTTGTGGACGATGCTAGAACAATGAGAGTCTGTGACATCGCTCATAGCAATAGTATATGGAACTGGCCTCTCATTCATGACATTCTCTCTATTTCGGTGATCTCTCATATTTATAATATCATGTCTCCTTCTCTTATTGTTGGACCAGATCATATTATATGGAAGAAAGATCCTAAAGGTCACTTCTCGGTTAAGAGTGCATATGCTTCTCCTGATAAAACCAATTGGGGTAACAAGGATCAACGATGGTTGGTGGTGTGGAAATAACCTATCCTTGAGCGCATTTGCGGATTCCTCTAGTTAGTGTTGAAAATTGATTGAGCAAGTGGCACCGAAAGTTGCCACTTATCTCCACCGAATTGTGGAGTCAAAGAAAAAAGCTGCAATTGTCAAAAGGGTTGCAGAAATTGTTGATTTTTCAACAATGGAAGAACCTCAATTTTAGCCATTGTAAGTTAGGGTATTTATAAATTAGTCATTAAGCTTCAACTATAAATACCCTAGCTCATTTAGCTTCAAAACCATCCCAAAGCATTCTAGCTTTCTTCCAATACTAGAGAGAATTTAGAGAGTTTCTTGAGAGTTGTTTTCTCCTTTTTTATCAAGAGAGAATTATCATTGTTTTTTCCTTAGTAGATCGAGAGAGGTTGTAATTCTTCTTTTCTCATAGTGAAATTCTTCTACAGTTGCCCGTGGTTTTTACCCTATTTTATTTAGGGGTTTTCCACGTAAATTTTGTGTCTCTTTTATCTTCATTTTTATTTTCTCAAATTATCAGTTGCGATTTTGCTCTATCCGATAGCCGTCTTCCGCAACAATTGGTATCCGAGCCAAATTTGAGTGTGTAATATCTGCTTATTGTCTTTGTGGTTGCCACCAAAAGGTGGATCCTCCAACATAAGAAAATAAGAAGGTATTACCCATTCTTTGAGGTTATAGAGAACTATTCACGATAGTGAAATAGTGGGAGCTATCAATAATAGAAACTATGGCAACAAAATTTGACATTGAAAAGTTTAATGGTAGAAATTTCTCATTGTGGAAATTGAAGATGAAGGCTATCCTGAGGAAAGACGGTTGTCTAGCAGCTATCAGCGAAAGGCCAGTAGATTTCACAGACGACAACAAATGGATCGAAATGGACGGAAATGCTATGTCAAACTTTCATCTAGCATTAGCAGATGAAGTATTGTCAAGTATCGAGGAGAAGAAGACAACTAAGGAGATATGGGATCATCTCACCAAACTGTACGAGGCCACATCGTTACACAATAAAATTTTCCTTAAGAGAAAATTGTACACTCTTCGTACGCCAGAATCTACTTCAGTGACGGAGCACTTAAATACACTGAACACTTTATTTTCTCAGCTTACATCCTTAAGCTGTAAAATAGGAGAACAAGAACGTGCTGAACTTCTACTTCAAAGTCTACCGGATTTATATGATCAACTCATCATCAACTTGACAAACAATAACGTCACCAGTCTAGTCTTCGATGACGTTGTAGCTGCTGTTCTACAAGAAGAAAATCGGCGCAAGAACAAGGAAGACAGACAAGTAAATCTGTAACAAGCAGAAGCGTTGACAACGATGACAATGATGAGAGGGAGATCAACAGAACGTGGCCAAAGCAGCAGTCACAAACATGGTAGATCGAAGTCGAGAAGTAAAAAGAATTTAAAGTGTTACAACTGTGGAAAGAATGGTCACTTGAAGAAGGATTGTTGGAGTCTAAATAAAAACTCCAATCCACAAGGCAATACCGCAAACACTTCAGATGATGGAGATGCTCTATGCTGTGAAGCGTCAACCACCGTGGAAGGCAGAAAAAGATTTGCAGATATATGGCTCATTGATTCGGGAGCGACATATCACATGACCTCAAGAAGAGAATGGTTCCATCATTATGAACCTGTCTCAGGAGGATCTGTGTATAGTTGCAATGATCATGCCTTAGAGATCGTTGGTGTGGGAACCATCAAATTGAAGATGTATGATGGAACAATTAAAGTTGTTCGAGATGTGCGGCATGTGAAAGGTCTGAAGAAAAATTTATTATCCTACGGATTGTTGGATAATAATGCTAGCAAAATTGAAACACGGAAAGGAATCATGAAGGTGTTCCGTGGAGCGCTTGTGGTGCTGAAAGGTGAAAAGATAGCTGCAAACTTGTACATGCTGAAGGGAGAGACATTGCTAGAAGCATAAGCCTCTGTTACCTCATGTAGTTCAGATTCTGCAATGCTATGGCATAAGAAACTTGGACACATGTCAGAACAAGGAATGAAAGTCCTTGTGGAGCAAAAGCTACTTCCAGGCTTAACAAAGGTATCACTTCCTTTGTGTGAGCATTGCATAAAAAGTAAGCAGCACCGGTTGAAATTCAACACATTAAATTCTAGAGGCAAAAGTGTTCTAGAATTGGTTCACTCTGACGTATGGCAAGCACCAGTAACGTCTCTAGGTGGAGCAAAATACTTTGTCTCATTTATTAATGACTACTCCAGGAGATGTTGGGTGCACCCTATTAAGAAGAAGTCAGACGTGTTTTCAACTTTCAAAAACTTCAAAGCGCGGGTGGAACTTGATTCTGGAAATAAGATCAAGTGTTTCAGAACAGATAATGGAGGAGAATACACAAGCGAAGAATTTGATGACTTTTGCAGGAAAGAAGGCATCAAAAGACAGTTCACAGTGACGAACACTCCTCAACAAAATGGAGTGGCAGAGCGGATGAACAGAACCTTGTTAGAAAGAACAAGAGCAATGTTGAGGGACGCAGGCCTAGAAAAATCATTCTGGGCAGAAGCAGTCAATACCGCCTGTTATTTGGTGAATCGAGCTCCATCAACTGAAATAGAGCTGAAGACACCAATGGAGATGTGGACTGGTAAACCAGTTGATTATTCAAACCTCCATGTATTTGGAAGTATTGTGTACGTGATGTACAACGCCCAAGAAATTTCAAAGCTGGATCCAAAATCCAGGAAATGCAAATTCTTGGGGTATGCTGATGGAGTAAAGGGGTATCGCTTGCGGGAACCCACTGCCCACAAAGTGATCATTAGCAGGGATGTAATCTTTTGTAGAAGATAAACTACAAAGAAAAGAAGACGATGATAGCGCTGAGAAGTCAGAGACTACTCAGATACATGTGGAAAAAGAGTTTGAAGAAGGAGATTCTTCTGAAGCAGAACCAG